GTGTGGGGCGTGCAGGAGGGAACCAATCAATGATTCTCTCTCACCATGGATGTTTCTATCTCTCTCTGCTTCTCCCTTCCTCTCTGAAATAAATAAAAAAAATATTTTTAAAAAAGTTGAATGACAATGAGCCATGCGGGAAGCCCTAGTGGGTGTCCAGATAAAATAGAGACATGTTCAATGCGCATTTCATCGAGGCACATGGTACTAGGTGGACACAGAGGAATATAGAAGGAGAGGGAGCGAATAACTTAAATCGTGGGAGGTCATTACATGCAAGAGCCCCCCCTCAATGACCCCACATCCAGCAGTGTGAGCCCAATAGGAGAGTTTCTTCTCAGTTCACCTGTTTCCATGGGCCACAAGAGGAGCACACTGGCCTACTCAACATGGCTCTAATACAGTGATTCCCAAAGTGGGCGCTACCGCCCCCTGGTGGGCGCTGCAGCGATCCAGGGGGGGCGGTGATGGCCACAGGTGCATTTGGGGGCATATATCTTTCTGTTTAATTGCTATTAAAATTTTAAAAAAATTAATTTCCAGGGGGCGCTGAGTAATATTTTTTCTGGAAAGGGGGCGGTAGGCCAAATAAGTTTGGGAACCACTGCTCTAATATTTGGGGGGTACCTATTTTCCATCTGAGATCTGATTAAATGCCAGTCAAGGACTTCACCAGAAGGAGAAGCAACTATTCCAGGAGAAAAATAGGCCACGTTGGACTCAGAGAGATATGGTTTGCAGTCTTCATGTGGCTCCTTCCTTTAGGGGGGGATGTCAAGACTATGTCCTTGTATGATTTCATTCATACTGTGGAATATAAAACAAAGAGACAAGCCTAACAAACACAAACTAATCAAAATGGATTGGTGGCTACCAGAAGGAAAGGGTAGAGGGAGGGTGAAGTGGGTAAAGGGGGCCAAATACATGATGACAGATGGAAACCAGACTTTTGGTGGTGAGTACACTGTATTGTACACAGGTGTTGAGTTATTAAATTGTAGGTCTGAAACCTAAAATAAAAAAAGATTAATCTCGGCCCTGGCTGGTTTGGCACAGTGGATAGAGCATCGGCCTGTGGACTGAAGGGTCCTGGGTTAGATTCCGGTCAAGGGCACATGCCCAGGTTGCGGGCTTGGTCCTCAGTAGGGGGCGTGCAGGAGGCAGCCGTTCAATGATTCTCTCTCATCATTGATGTTTCTATCTCTCTCTCCCTCTCCCTTCCTCTCTGAAATCAATAAAAATATATTTTAAAAAGAAACTAAGCTTGTCTTTCTGTAGCATCTACCTAGTAGCACCGTATGAGTTGGGTTTGGAGTTCACCTATTTTAACAGACACCAAATAACAGAAGGTGTATTTCTCTTTCATATAAACACTATGGTTGAAGGCAATCCTGAGACCAGGTTCCTCCTTCTCCTTGCCCTGCCATCCCCTCCGGTGGCCTTATGCACCTGGTAGGAGATGGCTCATTGGTATTTCCTTCACAGTCCAGCTACAGGGAGGGGGACAGAGCAAGCAGAGGGCCAGCAGTGTGCTTCTGACATGTGACTGGGAAGCTGTACTGAGATCCCATTGGCTAGAGCTTAGTCACATGGCCACAGGGACCTGCAAAGGAAGCTGGGTTGCTATAGGCCCAGCTAAAAGTCCAGAAAGAAGAGAACATTCTTTAGCAATTTGTGATCACTCCTCCACATCTGATCTCTCAGTGAGCCTCCATCTATCTTTTTATTCCATCCTACCATCACGCTTCCGTTTCTTCCTTTCTTCTCAGGTCACCTGTGCTAGTATTTGGTGATTACAGGGGTGAGTGAGTCAGACATGCCCTAAGATGATCACATGCCTAAGATGATCCTTGTTGTCCCTTGAGTGTGGAAAGAACCTGTGATTGGCTTTTTGAAAAAATCCTCATCCAAGGATATGTTTATTGAATTTAGAGAGAAAGGAAGGGAGGGAGAGAGAAACGTCAATGTGAGAGAGAAACATTGGTTGGTTGCCTATTGTTCTTGCCCTGATGATCAATTGATCCCGAGACCCTTCGGTGTGCAGGCTGATGCTCTAACGTCTCAAATAAGAGGAACCCAAAGAGGCCCACACCAAGACACATCATAATTAAAATGCCAAGGGTTAAAGACAAAGAGAGAATCTTAAAAGCAGCAAGAGAAAAGCAGTTAGTTACCTATGAGGAGCGCCCATACGACTGTCAGCTGATTTCTCAACAGAAACGTTGCAGGCCAGAAGGGAGTGACAAGAAATATTGAAAGCGATGAAAAGCAAAGACCTACAACCAAGATTACCCAGAAAAGCTCTCATTTAGAATTGAAGGTCAGATAAAGAGCTTCACAGACCAGAAAAAGCTAAAGGAGCTCATCACCACCAAACTAGTATTACATGAAATAGGAGGAGGAGGAGGAGGAGGAGGAGAAGAAGAAGAAGAAGAAGAAGAAGAAGAAGAAGAAGAAGAAGAAGAAGAAGAAGAAGAAATACGAACAATAAAATGGCAATAAATACATATCTATCAACAATTGAATCTAAAAATAAAAATAAACGAACAAGGAATCTCATGAACAAAATAAACTGATGAACAGAACCAGAGGCATGGAAACATGGAACAGACTGATGAATCTCAGAAGGGTGGAGGGGGTGGGAAGAGATTAATCAAAGAACTTATGTGCATATATGCATTACCCATGGACACAGACAATAGGGTGGTGAAGGTCTGGGGTGGGGTGGGATCTGGATGGAGGAGGGCAATGGGGGGAAATGAGGTGGGAGGACATCTGTAATACTCTCAACAATAAAGATGTTTAAAAAGCAGAAACCAGAGCTGCTGTGGTGTGAGCTGGAATGAGGGGATCCCAGAGCTCCTGGTGGTTTCATATCCCCCTTTCCATAGTCATTTGTGCAACACTTGAATGGTATTTGGGGCCCCACAAACTTAGTTCAGACACCCTCCCCCTAATCAGATTAATAAATGCTATGAAATCTAAATCACCACTGATTGCCAGATACTCCCTTATTTTATACTAGAGGCCTGGTACACGAATTCATACATGGGTGGGGTCCCTCGGCGATTGGAGCTGATCGGGGCAGGCCGGCCAGGGGGAGGGACTGCGGGAGGCTGGCTGTGGGAAGGCACTGACCATTCATACATGGGTGGGGTCCCTCGGCGATTGGAGCTGATCAGGGCAGGCTGGCCAGGGGGAGGGACTGCGGGAAGCTGGCTGTGGGAAGGCACTGACCACCAGGGGGCAGCTCCTGTGTTGAGCATCTTCCCCCGGTAGTCAGTGCGGGTCATAGCGACTGGTCGACCGGTCATTCAGTTGTAATGGTCACATAGGCTTTTATATATATAGATTCCACCAAGAAAGAAAACAAAAAACACACTGCCAATCAAACTATGACAGCTCATCAATAAAACGCATCCTGATTTCCCATGTTAAAATGGGGTGCTCAGCCCTCAGATCACAGCTCAACAATCCATTCCTGATGACCCCTGCTGGCCAACCTACATCATTTTTCCTTCTGTACTCTCAGTGCTCTCCTTTCTCCAAAACATGTATTGTGGTTTTTATTAATTGTGTGATTATTTGTTTAAAATCTGTCCTCCACACTAGAATAAGAGTCGAATGAAGGTAGACCCCAAGAAGGAACACACATGCGTATTGTGGTTTTTATTAATTGTGTGATTATTTGTTTAGAATCTGTCCTCCACACTAGAATAAAAGTCGAATGAA